TAAAATAATATTGCAACTATAAATTGAGATGTAAGCTATACCTTTCAAGTTAGATCAAATTGCACACAATGTGCAAATCAAATTTACAACCCGTTCAGTAGTTTAGGAGTCCATCGCGGACAAACCTGTCACGTAATTTTTATATATAAAGATTTTTGATAATTATTTAATTTTATGACTAAAGTATATATACGCTTTATAGTAAAGAATTGGTGATTTCATTTTTTTACACTTTTAATACATTATACTATTGCCATGCTGTAATATATAGTAATATTATTAAAATATATCTGTGACTAAATGATACATCATAAATTGTGCATGAAATAAATCTAAATTAATTTATATAATAATGAAGACAGTTATGATTTTTAGTTATAATAAGTAATTAAAAGAAGACTTCAAAATAGATTAAGTTATTATATTAGAAGAGGCTGTGGTTGTTTTCAAATGATATAAAAAAGAATAAATTATATTTATACAGCATTACTTTGTGGGATTATTAATAAAAATTTGTACTATTTTTAAATTAATTACTAAGTTAAAACCTACTCTCGTAACGCTGAAAATAACTCCCACACAGTTATTTCTGTAAATTAAAATATCCTAAAATAATTGTGATGCTGCAAAGGTGGACAGAATTGCTTATACTTAATAATTCTCTATTAAAAAATCTATAAAGATAGAAAAGAATTTCTGTACATACAGTAAACTTTTCTCTCATAAGTTATCGAGTCTAGAAAAGGGAATACCGAACAAATTCAAACCAGTCAGCCATTTTATAACTACATTGTTACATGCTTTACTTCAAAAAGAAATTCACGATTCAATATTTTCTAACATTCGAATCGTCGTTGAGGCAAAGGAGCTGTAACTCAAGGTTATAAATAAAACACGTTTATAATAAATGTTGCGTGCAAAAAACCTCTAAAATAACCGTAACGTATTTAAACACAAAGGAAATCTATAATTCCATGAAATGGCCTTATAAATCTAGATTCGATGCTTAATAAACCAATCTAAAGAAACATATTAATAAAAAATTACTAGTTTGAAATTGTTACAATACTTGAAGACAAACTGTAAATTTAAGGTTTTATAAACGTTTGTATTTACGAATATGACTGTTTGTATCGGTCTCGATGTTTTCTATGTTTATTATTAGCGTATTTACAAAAAAAAATCTTATACATACAAAACACCCAGACCGATACAAATAATCATACTACAAATGTTAGTACCGTGCGAGGAATCGAACCCGCAACTATCATAAGTAAGGCAGTATGCTAAACTGCTAAACCACCGAGGCCGTTATATACATAACAATAATAAAAAGACAGTTTACTCATTTTAATATTTATTTTTTTAGTTGGTTAAATACAGATGCTTTTAAAACACGTTAACACATTACAAACGCATCAGCCTGTAGCTGAATTTGTATATAAACATTGTAATATATAAAATATTGGACCATTATCTCAACTCAATTTCACAAAGTCGTGTATGTGAATATTTTTTCCACAAGAAACGTTTGGCATCCAAGATCGTTAAAGATAAGGGGTGGAAGAGCGTAAAGTGTAGGGTTCCATAAAAGCTATAATAAAATTGTAAGCATCGAAGTCTGTACATTTAAAATAACAACTAACAAAGGTATAAACAAAGTACATGGTTTTTATAATAAAACTTTGTCTTTATATAGACACAAAACAAAGTTCATTTATAAAATAAAATGTGTGCTAGGACATATAGTAGAAGTGAAACTTCAACGGACAAGTGGAAAAACGAATAGCAACTTAAAAAAATATTTACTTCAAGTTTTACAGCAGATTGTTAATTTATTTGTCCAATTTCAAAAGCTTATTGTGCGCGTAAAAAATTAAACATTGCTAGAATATCTGTATATACTTCACTGTAGCATATTTAATATTTATCATAGATAATTTCATAATCTGACGAATTTCTAGGGGTTTATTCCACAGTGTAAATATAGTAAAATATGTATATAATTAGTAAAAGGTAAAAGGCTCAGAATATGTCAATGGCGAAAATTTACAAACAATAAAAGACATATCACACTATGTTTCTAAATATAAAATTGTAATAACAATGGCTGCTATTTATAAGGGCCAGATATATATTTAACCATGAAGTTCCAATAGAATTTGGTGGTGTTACGGTTTAACATATCCCTTTAGATGACTCTTGTTTCGATACAGCAAAAATGGGTCAATTGTTTTATAAATTGACGAATTATATTATTGGGTGATATATTTAGTATATTCCTTAGGCAAGTGTAATTTGACAATATGTATTACCTATTAATGAGTATTAATTTCCCATTAACGCTTAGAAAAGCAATTACACGGTTACATTACGAACAAAGCTGTAGGAAATAACTAGTACGTATATAAAAGGAGACTAAGCCGTTCTTCAAATAGAGATAATGAAATACAATACCGTTAACGAAACGATATATTTTCATAGGCTTTGACAGTTTTTTGTGTATGTTTATATATGTTCTATTTATTTTCTTTCTAGTGTACTCAGTAGCACAAGGGCAAAACAAAAGCCGCAAATAAATAAGTAGCCTTTATTATTTCTGTATTACAATATTTTCACATTGCTTATGATATTTGTAAACATATAAAAAAAAACAATATTTTTGTTCTATAAAAATATGATGAAGAGGTTAAGAAGTTAAGTTATGAGAAGTTAAGCTCCTAAATAACTTATGATAATTAAAGGCAAATGTTATAAGAGAGCAGATCCTATCGTATGAAAAATAATAATCAAAATAGGTTCGTATCTAGTTTAGGACAATTCATATTTCTGAAAAAAAAAATTCTCTAAAATATACAATATAAGGTACCTAAGAAAATATTTGTAAATACTCTATACCAAAGACAAGAGAATATCCTCTACCTAGATTTAAGAATTTTCCTAAAAAATGTTATCATAGCCAAAGTTCATAGTTCGCTTAAATATAGCACCTCATATAAAGAAGAAAAAAAAATAAGAATCGAGATTCTCCTGCGAAATAGTATGAAGGCATAACAAATGTTTTAAAACTAGTTTTTTTCTTCTAAAATTGCTTCGTACTGTTTTTACGAACGTACTTTAAAACTATTGCTGTACTATAATATAAATAACCAATCAGTGTTTCATATATGAATAAACTATTATAACCGTTACCTACAAAAATATATTTTTAATAAACTCATAAATATTTTTATATCTACCAAAAGGAATTTAATATTTCTATGCATAATATTTTTGTCGTTCAAAATCACGACTTGGAAATGTGACCGTCGAAAAGGTATCCAACGTTTTATCAAATAGAACATTTTGTTCACGTATAAACAGATACGAAGGAATATTTATAGTGTTATGTTACTGGCAATTTGAATTTAGAACGTTTCGTATTTAATTTTGGAATAGATGAGTAAAGGCTATAAACAAAAGACAATAATAATATCAGTTAGGCTTGAGTCAACGCTAACGTTAAAAGAAAATAAGTTTTGTATGAGACTGTGATACCATATCTTTTGCTATATAGCTATAGCTGACCAAATGATGTTGCGTACGATAAACGTCTACAAATTACAATACCTCAGACTACCGAATCTTATTGTGAGATAATTTTTTTTTTTGAGATTTTTATTTATTTATGTATTAACGCCGGCTTAGTGCTAGGGGCACATAACTTTGTGAATTTTGTATATATCAACATAATATATAAGATATCAAAATATACAAATATATATATATTTATGTTCATTGCGTGTACCACCTACCTTTTTCTTAATGTTATTTTCTCTACCTAAAGGTAGTCTGGAAGAGATTGCTTAGCGATAAGACCGCCCTTTGTATCAGTTTATGCAATCTTATCATTTTAATTGTAATTAACAATGTCTGGTACAATAAAGAGTATAAATCTTACTTAATATTATACACGCGAAAGTTTGTGAGTATGGATGGATGTTTGTTACTCTTTTACGCAAAATCTAATCAACGGATTTCGATGAAACTTTACAGTAATATAGCTTATACATCAGAATAACACATAGGCTATAATTTAAAAATATATAAAGTAAACTGGGCAATATATAATAATAAACGTCAAGTAAGTGTGATGCAGTACAGTAAAATAATAATATACAGTCTCTGTCAATCTGGAATAAAGTCCACTTTCAAAACTTTGAAAGAATTTATCAAAATGGTGCAGTGTTTCTGGAGTATATATTCCTCATAACAAAATATACTCTCTCTATCTCTCTCTTTTTATAGTCATCATCAACATCATTGCCTTACCTTTATCCCATTATTTGTGATCGGCGCAGTATGTCATTCTCTTCCACTGCTCTCTATCGGTCGTCATATCTGAACATACTCTTCTTTTATTCATATTATTTTCTTTTTATAATAGAGTTATAAAATATGTTGTACATATTATAACTTTATATTAGTATTTGTGGTTCGTTTACAATTTAGTTATTTGAGGAACTCTAAATATTAGGAGCGGCTTATGCGATTGGTATTTTCACGACGTTATGAAAAATTCCATATATAACATGATCATCGGATATTTTCATTTCATTACACCACACGTCACCTACACATGAAATTTTTGTATTACACAAATATAATTATTGACTATCTACTATCTAGGCAATATTATTATTAATGTAATACCTATTTATAATACCAAAGTTGTAACAAACATTATGCCAAAAATTTGGTAAATGCAATGGTTGCTGGCTCTTCCGTTATATAGTTCTTACGTTATATACTTAGATATATTACCCGTGAACGAATGCTACTTGTAGGGACTGGTCTGCTCTTATCACTATAAAGTTCTACCAACCACATGTTTGAACATTGACTACTATTTATTGATGTACTTATGTACCTCTTTTCTATTTATGATATCGTATTTACATAAAATTTTATAAACATACAGTTGTATAGCTTTGGTTGAATAAAAAGTATATAAAACTCACCAACAACAGTAAGGTGCACTCGCCTGACCAGAGGCGGATGCGTCGATATCTGACATTCGTAGAATCCTTCGTCCCTTTCGTTCACGTACTGTATGAGCAGGCGCCAGTCATTGGGGTGCTCGAAGGCTAGCGAGTATCTAGAATCAGCTGAATATGTGTGCGTGCCAAAGGAGAGAAGATGCAGGTCTTCACCACGTCGTCGGACCCAAGAGATCTGCAAGAAAATATTTATCATTTCAGTACAATAATTCATAACACGTGAAGCAAAAGATTTGTATTCCTTTTAACTAAAAATACGGAGGCGACTGGAGTCTGTAAGTTGCGGGGCAGCGACTCGAGGGGGATACGAATAACACTGAACGGTCTCTGACACTTCATATCTCACCACCGAGAACGACTCGCGTACTCAGTATTATATTTGATTCGTTCTCTGTATCAGAAGTTTTAATTATACAAAGATACCGTCCATATATAAGTATTTGATTTAAACTCCTTAGCTTAGAACCGCTATATATATATAGGGACTTTAGTACGTAAGATTTTGAGAACATAACCTAACTTAAATAAATATCAATTATGGTCATGTTCTAATAAATCGATCAACTGCAGGTCGTTTTAGAATCATTATATTTTACTTAACTTTATACTAATTTAAAATTTGGAAACCCCTATAGCTAACTATACTCCTAAGAAGTAATAATTTAAAGATAAAGAAAGTTAAATTATTATTTTTTAATTATTTGTCATTATTATTATAATTAAGCAAACAGTATCAAAATTGCAAACTGTATATTCAAATTCGAAAATAATTTATTCGTGTAGGACATTTTAGCCACTTATGAACTTTTTCCCTACCGTCTAAAATCCAAGGTGGAAACCTAATGGACAAATTATAGTTCTGATTTCCTTTTGATATCGCTATCCTATTTATTTAACAGTTATGAGTGAACAGACATACATAACGGTCAAAATAATAACCCTTAATTTTGGTTCACCCATACAATTTAACAAGATAAACAATTGGTAACAATTTTTTCCTCGTTCTTTTGAATTAAAAGGTTAAAAAGCAATATAAAAAATCTGACGTGCATAAGTGGCCAGAGTATCGTAAATGAGAAAAACCTTTTGAATTTTGACTTCAAAAGAAAGATTTCGGTATAAAATGGAATGTAGAATTGCTACAAAAATAACATTTTGGCAAATTACCGCATCGCACGGGCCGTAGAAAAAGAGCTTTAGTGCAATAAAGAGTGTGGGTTCGACCGCCGAGCCTCGCCTCCGGGACTTGAGTATTGAATTTACATAACGCTGAAAGGATCCAAAGGGCTATTCGAATTAATGGGTTTATTGGATTTGACCATACCGCAATAAACAGTTATGTGGCAATGGAAATTTTGTTGTGCTATATTTTTAGTATAGATCTAGTTAGACTTGGTACAAAGACCGCACCTGTTTCAGCTGTCAAGCAGTTTGCTTTATAAGCTGTTTCTTTTGAAGGGCAATGTGGTTTATGGTAATTAAATTTCATGGTACAGGGTATTACTTCTTAGTTCTCCAGAATGGTATCATATGGGGTCCCATAGACAACTCATAATGGCGTAATATCCCTGATACTATTTATGTATAAAGTCATAAAATATAATCGTATTTTTAAACCCAACGTAGCAAATAACGTGGTAAGAGGTATCCATCATAGAAGAGTCAGATATGATATGCTTAATTCTAAACTGCATTAACTCCAAAATTACAAAATTTGGAATAACAACCTTCAATTAAAACTATTAAAGTCAATTTCTCTAGTGCGATTTTTGTGTTATGCATTTTAAATATTAAGCATACAATGTATGAATACACAACAACACTTTCTTATAGATTTTACTTATTATTATATCTAGGTACAACAATATCTCAATGTCTCCTTTTTCCTTACACGTATGTATGGCTGATCGAGTTAATACATTATCATATACCATTTTCTAGGTTTCTGGAAGAAATCTCTTTTTAGAGAGAAGCTCGCCTTTATGTGTACATTACATTTATCATACTACCATTTTTTTATCCTACAATATGTACAATAACGAATAATAAATCTTTTACATGTTTAGTTTCTTTTTTTCTACCAAATATTACTACAATACATAATCTACCGCTATTCTTCTTCTATTAGGTAATTCAATTTCTTTTTTAATAAAATACCTAATTGATTTAAAAAAACCGTCTTTCTAGATTAAATCAATACTCACGAACATTTTATTTATAACTTAGAATAGTACACTACTATATTATTATATAATTACCGCCATTGTACATACCATATTCTGACAAATAAATATATTATTATTATTATAATTACTAGACCAAAACACTGATCAAAAGTATCAGTCAAAATTACAAATGAAAAATATGATTAGGTATTCTGTACAAAGCGTTTACCAAGTTGGCATCGGTGGTCCAGCGGTTTAACAAAACGCCTTACTTCCGATGGCTGCAGGTTCGATTCCTCGCACGGCACAAACATATTTAATTATATTCATGAGTATGATTGTTTGTATCGGTCTAGGTATTTTCTATGTATAATATGTATGTATTTACCAAAAAAATATATCTATGTATTTGTATCAGTTATCTAGTACTCATAACACAAGCTTTAGCTATCTTAACTTGGATCTAGATAGCGCTGTGTGAATTGTCCTGAGATTATTATAGATTACTTTTATTGTTATTATTTGTCCACGTTAAAAAAAAAGTATGTACGTCAGCTGCCTTACAGGGATGCCTTAACTTAGCCTTAATGATATGACGAAGATCTTTACGAAATATTTGCTGTCTGACCTTCACACCCTCGTAGTAAGCTTGTCTATGAAATAAATTGACTGACGATGTAAAGATGTTACGGCGTAATACCAAAATGTATTTACGAAGCTATTTCTATATAATAAATGGTTGATTTTATTCCAAAATAATAAATATAAATCTATAAGTATGATAAAATGATACTGAACGATGCGAAAGAATATTATTAGTAGACATTATCGAAATAATAAAATCCAGAATAGTAAATGACAAATAAAGTATTACTATTATTATTAAAAAAAATGTTAGAGTATTTGGCTGGTTGTGCGTTTAAATTTCGCAATAAAGAGTTAAGCTTGGCGTAAAATTTTGTTTCCTTTATTCCAATCAGTTTTAAAAGAAAAATATTACACGATACGAAGTCTCGATTTTAGCTAGTAACATAATTATAAGGAAATTTTCACGGTCATTATCCCAGATGGAGTAATCAGAGAGATATGTCCAAATTTGGCTAGATGATTATATTTAATGAGACAGGAACCTATTGCTTTTATTTCATTTGTTATGGATGTTACTACCACCATAAAGTCAGTCAGAAATGTAACTGATACACAAGGTTTAATTGCCTTCGTTTTAAGACAAAGATTCTTCTTTGTCCTAAAATTGGGTTGGTGGTAAATACTAGACTATCATGTACCAATAGATTTAATAAAATATTAAAAAGTAAGACACTTATTTAATGTGAAAATTTAATTTTTATAAAATATCTATTGTTAAACAGATTGGTTCACAATATTAGCCACAAGAAGTTCTTAGACAATTTTAATGAATTTTATTATTATCTAGAGATCACTGACTTCTAAACTGCACTAGAAATAAATTTATATTTCATTCGTTCCTTTTATAACAACACTTTAACATTCCACTATAAGAGACGGTACTCTCCATACAAAAGATAAGAAATAGGAAGTCTATAAACTCAACACTCGTCTTTCAAATTGGGGATTATTACTGAAAATGTAGATATTTGAATTTGTAAAAAAATGCTAAGTATAAAATAAAATTAGATGATATTTAATATTTTTTTAACAATTCACACAGCGCTATCTGTTCCTAAGCTAAAAAGAGCTTGTATTATGAGTACTAGACAACATATAGATATTCTCAATTACATTTTTTTTTTGCAGATACATTTGATGAAAACACCAGACCAATACAAACAACCATACTCGTGAATACAATATTTCTACTATGCGAGGAATCGAATCCGCGCTCTTCGTAATTAAGGCCACCAGGACCGTTACTGGGAATGACAAACAAGCTGACGGCCTATCTACATTACCATGTGACGCTCGTAATACCACACATGTATTAAAATTTCAGAGGACTATGATATCATGTCTCTATTCACGCTAAAACTGAAACACAGCATAGAAATAAGTTCCTTGGAAGCTGAAATATGTGGACTGAGGTACGTAGACAACTTTCTACATAGCTGAAAATCTATGTTTTTTCCTAAACAATCTTCCACGCTGAATTTACGACCTTTTTGTGTTGCAGATCACACATAATGACACAAAATTAATAATACTATGTTTCTCTATGTTTTGTTCTCTATTTGTGTAATGATGTGTGATTTGTAAGAATTTAAATTAACTACTTATATATCTATCTATCAAAGTTTACTTTGGTATATCTATTCGATTTATCGTTACATTCCATATCTGTATAAATAAGCTTACCGTTTTCTCTCCCAAATCATGCACTCTACAATGTAGATGCACTCGGCTCCCCAACTGTGCTGTCACGTTATTTGTTGAAATGTCATCCTCGAAGAATGGTAGTGGCTCCAAGGTAGTGGTTGACACATCCTCGTCGTGATCCTCGTATGTCTCCGTGAACACTTCGTGCCAGAATGGGCCGCTGATTACTTTCTTGTCACCGATTTTGAAATCTGTAAAGATAGAGTAAGTAGTCAGTTACTTTTTTTAATAAAAAGAACATGCCGTTACGACTGCAATCCCAGATGGGGTAGTTAGCAGCATTATTAACTATAGTTCTTGTAGTAAACGCAATACTTAATAATTGTTATACCCATATTTTTCTAAGTATATTTTGAACCCAACGTAGCAGGGAAGACCTTACTAGTAACTAAGATTTTTTATATTTGATATTGATATTTACTGCACTAAAGAGTCAGTCAGAAATATAAACTGACAAGCAAAGTTTTTATTTGTGTCTTATTTGTGAGTACAATATTATTTATATGTGTTTTATTTGTGAGTATAAGTCAAATAATTAGTAAGCCACTGGATCTTAACGGGCTTAAATAAATCTACTCATAAGTATTAATATGACGGCCTCTGTGATGTAGTGGTTAATGGTCGCTGGTTCAATTCCTGCCACGATGTGAATATTTTTATTCATAAGTGTGATGGTTTGTATTTTCTCAGTGTTTTCTATGTATACTATGTACAATAAATATTAAAGCCTTCTATAAATTGTCCAGTATACCCTTATTACAAGCTCTGCTCAGACAGCGCTAACGCCATCTAGTCCTAAGCTAATTAGGATTAGATGGCACTGTGTAGAGATGGCATTGTCCAGAGTTATTATTAAATAATGGTACCTGGTAACTGCGGCGCTATCACACATAGCGTCCTCGTGAGAAGTGAACAGAAGACCATAAGGCCAGCCGGAGTCATCTTGTCAGCCCCTTGAATTCGGAGCCATAGAGTTCACCTGTCCAGCCGTTTTTGTTGCTGAAACAAGGAAAAATAAAACATTCAAATATGTAGAATATATTTTAACAAACAATCGTTGACAGTACTCAATTTTTAAAAGTACTAAAGTAAAAAAACTATCTCTCATATTAACCAACTACACTACTCTTCAAAAACCGGAAATGATAATAATAACGGCAATAAAAATATTAATCATACATGACGTTTCTCAGTCTCGTTAAAACTCAAGAATGGCTGGACCTTTTTAGCTAATTTTTGAAATATTTGTAGAAGTCCGAGGAAGGTTTAAGTGGTGAGAAAATATGAAGAAACTGCATAGAAAATAGTAAAAATAATCATATTATTTTCCCATACAAACTGTTCGTACCTGTCAAACAGGGTGCGTTCAGAAATATATTGCGTAAAACTTCATAAAACCTTTGATATATTATTTAATACTGAAACGGAACGGAGTTTGGAGGTTCTGCTAGTATATACTATATTTAGGGGAGAAGGTATTTAGCAAAAGGACTAGTGCTTCCATTTCTAACAATGTAGCATATCAGGTCTACCACCACGTCGTCCATTTATCATAAAAAACATCATTTACTCTATAACCGCTCCAGAAATAAGAATAGAAATTTCCAAAATGGAAGCACTTAAAAAATAAGTTTGTAGGTAAAAGGTTTTAGGTTTAATGGAGTCGGTGGTCTAAAAGTTTTCTCAATATAGCCGTAGGTTCGATTCCTCGCACGATGCAAACTTTTATATTAATAAATTTGTCATTTTTTTTTTATTATTTATATTAGTCTGATGGTTTCTGGAAGTATATTACGCATTTATTTTAAAATAAAATTGTAAAAGTATTCAAACACAAGCTCTAGTTAGCTTGCACTAGATGGCGCTGTGTGTATTATTCAATTATAATTATTATTATAAAATGAATATCTAAATATTGCTAAACAGCAACATAAACAGATTAGCAACAATAACTGCCAACCAATCATTAGTGAAGAATAATAACCATGAAGTTCTGTAGAAACAGAAAAACTTTCTTTTTTAATTTATGTACATTATGCCATAGTTTTATCAACATTATCAGTGAAGGTTATCTAAAAGATCCCTACCTTACCCTAGTACCTTTTAGGGTACTTTAAGATCCCTTTTTCAGATAATTCTGTTTACCAACATTTGACCTAAAGTAATAGTTGGAAATCAAAAGCAAAAACTTTGTAGCGTGTCTAGAAACCTTCGATAGATAAGATTGGATTAATCCCAAACTTGTCCCATTTAAAGATAAAAAACTATTCTGACCCAGAACACTCGTGTTTAGACCGTGATAAGGCATCAAACACGAGTAGTCTGTCAAAATAAGGATAATGTGTAAACAAATTACATAATTAAGACAACGAAATTTCTTATCTGTTTAAATATAGGTACATAGTATCACAATAATTATGTAAGGATTCGAAAAAAAAGTCCTATTTCAGTAGGTGTAACAAATACTGCCAGTGGATTAATACAATTTGTTTGTCTTTCTGTAATCTATTTTTATTGTAATTACGTGCGTCGCAGCCGCAGGAGTTAAATAAAACCGAAATTATTTTAATATATTTAATTAAAAATAAAATATTACAAACTAAAATATGACTATAACTATCTTCGGACGAAGTTGGTACCGAATTGAGTTAAAGTGACAAATACTGAGACGCGGAAACACAATTAAGATGTCGAGTTAGCAGTTGCCCAGCGCGGTGGCTCAACGAAGATGTGGGGCGCTGATTCGTCATTTCGAAGTACGGGCACAAAGTACAAGGCCGTGCTCCTCATCAGCAATTTCCGTATTAGCAACAGCTATAACATTGTATTTAAATCAAACTTACTAATATTATAAACACGAAAGATTGTGAGTATGGATAGATGTTTGTTACTCTTTTACGTATAAACTACTGACCGGATTTTAGTAAAACTTTGCAGTAATATAGTTTATACATTAGAATAACACATAGGCTATCATTGAAAGAAATATTATGTAAATTGGCCGAAATATAATGATAAATGTCAAGTAAGTGTGATGCAGACCAAGTTACGTGGGTCAGCTATCATATATCTAATTTGACGGCCTCGGTGGTCTAGCGGTTTACTTCTGATTGTCGCGGGTTCGATTCCTCATATTGATGACCTCTCGTATTCCTCGACTTCCTTGTATCCATGAATATGATTGTTTGTATCGTTTGGGTGTTTTCTATGTATATTATGTATGTATTTACATAAAATATCAAAGTTTAAAACTCTACTAGAAAATAGATATACTACTCGTATATCTATTTTCTAGTATCCATACCACAAGCTCCGCTTACCGTGGGATTATGCGGCGCTGTGTTAATTGTCTAGAGGCTATTATTACCTATACTTTCTTATCAAATGTACCAAATTCTCTTTTACATCGATATGTACGTCAAAAGCTAAAAATATACTTAGCTAATACGTAAAAGTAAGTTCAGATCCTCGGGGAATGCTCTATGGTGCGAAATAAAAGAACCAATTCCATGTAACTGCAAAACTTGTAATTGACTTAAGTCTTTATTGAGCCTTTATGGCATATGTTACATTTGAATAGAACATTTTCATCAAGTAATATCTCATATTATATTATATACCCACTAATATATTAGTGCGCGACTTTGTCTACTTTTTGTATTAAACGTAATGGACTAATGGTGACTAGCCCTGACATAAAACGATAGACAAGCCTTTGTGATAAAATAAATACAAATTTTGTACCGTACGAGGACTCCAACCCACGACCATTGGAAAAAAAGTAGGCTGCTAAATCGCTAGAACACTAAGGACGCGTTAATAACCTTTCATAAAATATATTCATAAAACCATGCCAAGACTGTTGTCTATCTGATTAATTAGATTAGAATTGCGGTCTTACGACCGGAAGACAAAGGAGAAATTTTACATATAATTAAATTGCCCCTCCGGTCGATCCCATTTCCGTACTAACGGGGATTGAAATTACAACGGCCAGAGTCAAGGTTCGAATCTCTACAAGTGCCTTCAGATTATGTTTTATCTTATGTGTTCATCAGACTAAGGTCGTATCCGTCAAACTTGTGGAATCCCTTATTTGCTTCCAGTGAAGCTGTACAGGCCAGCTACCAATACCATTAAAATATCTTAATGTATAAAACTTTCGTGTCACGTCGTTTATTCGCGATGGAATCCTAAAGTATTAAAACCTTTTTGATGAACATTTATATTTATACTCGGTAGCTCTGAGAATAGGTTGTTATCTATTTTTAATACCCTAAGGGAGAGCCCACCCTAAAAAATATTTATTTTTTATTGACATATATTTTAATCATTCAGAATAAAATATATACCACCCTAAATTTTCGCCCTACTACCATCAACCCCTTATTTCTTTCATGGGAAAAATCCTCATGGAGACCCGCCCGCCCAGGGGGAGGTACTGCTGGACTGTTACCGGTTAAAAACCCCAAGATGTTCCTTCTCTTAACCTTTTTCAGAGTTACGGAAATGCGCGAACAATCTTCCACAACCCTATTTTTTAATAGCGATATTAATTTATATGGCAATAACAGCTTTTGCCGAGTCGATCAGTATTTTATATATTCTTTCTTTTGAAATTTTTATGGCAAACAAGCGATTTTACAACATAAGCTGTAGATATGCTACAACAGAATAATAATAAAAATGAAATAAAAATCGAGTTTCAAAATTCATCTAGAGAAGCTCTCAAGAAGTTCTAATTAGATATAAACTAGATAATTCAAATACAAAGACGTAGCTCACTCTTTGTCCTATTCAGGTCCATCGACTTAGAGCACTCAAAAGTTTTAACACCTTTCTTTAATTCCAGATCATTTAAAATTCATGGATACGAAAAACTTTTAAATGCTAAGGTACTTTCGAGGTTATATTTTTATTACATGAAATAGATGTAAAAAATAAATTGATAGTTCAAGTTATGCAATATATAAATGTCAAATGACTTGCTGCGGCTTCGACTTGATATGTTTCGAGTTTTATATGTAATATATATAGTGACGGTAAATGGTAAACATTATCGTCATGTTAGGATACCATTTCAGATGACTAAGATGTCATGCTTCCACACCTTTTATGTTACATTGATGTTACTACGCAATGTATGATGCTGCATCGAGGTCGTCGCAGCGGCCGGTCGGCGATCACTCTTCAATGTCATCACGAGCGGCTTCAAGGACGCGCGTCGTCACTCTCTTATTCGATTAATTTATAAATTCGCAATACATTATATTTAAACATACAGTCCATTTCATTGAAGATCCCTTAGGGCCTTGACATTATAATTTTATTTATATGTTTATGTTATAATTTTCTCAAGCTTTCAAACGCTTACAAAATAAGGTTCTTAGCAATAAGGATAAATGTTGTATAAATATGTAATAAAACTATTAATGACTGAAAATTGTATTTTAATGTTATGGTAGATAGAGAAGGTGACACAATATAATTTTTGTTTTATATTTTTGATTATAGAATAATAAAAAGAAAAACCTTTAAATATATTAATATCAAAAGAGTTTTCTCAACATATCCTCCCGTAATCAAAACATATATATATAACAAAATACAACGTAACAAAAGTAACAGTATCAAAATTACAAATTAGCAAGGTTATCCTATACCCATATTTGAGATACATCTTAGATGTTTAACGCTTCCTAAAGGTTTTGTCAAAACATCAGCTGGTAACAAGTCAGTGGGCATATACCTTAGTTCGATGATTTTATCGTTGACTTTTTCTCTTACAAAGTGGTACTTTACGTCTATGTGTTTAGTCCTATTATGGTGGACTGGGTTTAACGCAAGTTTTTGTGCACTCTGACTATCAGAAAAAATTGTAACATTTAGTTCCTTAACTTTAAATATATTAATATCAAAAGAGTTTTCTCAACATATCCTCCCGTAATCAAAACATATATAACAAAACAAAACGTAACAAAAACAACAGTATCAAAAATACAACGTAGTAAAATATATACACGGTTCCTTTTCAACCTCCGTGTACTCCACTCCAACGGCTAGACCTTTTCTGAGTAAGACCATACCTAATCGACAATATTTCTTCAGCCAGTCACCATGTGTGAAGTCATATATACTGATGTTCCATAAATAAATTATCCATTTGTCACAATTTCTGTTTTCCAATCTAGATACAACTACAGGACAAAAGTAATCCGTTGTATCTTTAATATCCTGTTCTATTTTGGATACATTTCCCTTCTTGTCCCTTTTAAGTAGACATTCAGGACTATGTCCATACATTTAAAACATATAATAGGCCTCTACTTTTTCTCTTTTAATTGCGAAGTATGAAATTCAGCACCGTCGTTCTGAGCAACTTTTGACATTTTGCTCAACAACTTGCTTTTCACCATTTCCAAAGTCACTTCAACACTAGAGTTTTCTAAAGCCATTACTAATGGTACAAAACGTGATGTCAAACCTCCCAACAGTATCGCAGCTAGAGAACTGTTATCGATCTTATTGCCTATATCAGCCAAATCTTGAGCATGTCAAGACTGCATTAATGTACGACTCGATATGAGAAAAATCAGATAAAGAGTACCCCTGTACAGCCGTCTCTCCATACCAATTTTCGACCTAGACTCAGATCTTCATATGCCTTATTCAAAGGCATACCAGGCCTCTTTTGCTGACGTTGCTGTCCTCACATGCATCATTGCGGCACCGTCCACACAAAGACAAACTTTTGATAATGCCTTCTTACGTTTCCGCACATGCATAGGTGTATCATCACTGGATTCATAACCATCTACTACATTTCACAGCTCTTCATGTTCCTTTTGAATTTCTATGCCGTATATTCTTCAACATTTTATCAATATTATATTACCACGAAAATTATTCCCAGCCATTATAAATGAACTAAATCGTCTTTTAAATTGATTTATTCTTCGTGCTGATAACGAATGTTGTATAAATATGTAATAAAACTATTAATGACTGAAAAATATATTTTAATGTTATGGTAGATAGAGAAGATGACATGATATAATTTTTGTTTTTATATTTTTGATTATAGAATAGAAAAAACCTTTAAATATATTAATATCAAAAGAGTTTTCTCAACAATAAACGAGACAGACAGTGCCCATACAGATTTTGTACAAAATCTACCTCGGTCCACTATATTTTAGCTATTTTTCCAAATGGAACATCAATGTTTGTCCAATCATTCAATGTAGTCGTAGTGTATACATCTCAAAGATCCCCTGACCAGAGTGAAGCGTCCGGCGCCAAGTCAACCAATATGCTATACAGGGCTGGATTAGCTATTAGACAGGGTCGGCTTGGGGCCCTTAGCCAATCCTGCTTTAGCGGAAACGTTGAAAATATTTTATGCAGTGAAATTTTAATTGTACAATTTTTATCATTAATGACTATAGTTTTTTACCGTGCTGGTAGTTTATCAAGTAATTTAGTACTCAACCTAGTATTGAGTAGTAGAACGAATAATATGGATGGTTTACTTAGAGTATTTTAAGAGAAACAAAATTTTAAACTTTTATATCGCTCTTAAAAAAATATAAATATGTTGCAGTCGTAAGACCACATATGCGTTTATTTTGCTCGGTATATCACTATAATATAGTAGTATAGTATTAAAAAAGCAATATTGACAGTTAAAAATGGCTCTGATATCCCATATGGGATAACAATCGTAACGTTATATTGTTGTTATCTATTAATATACATAGAACATTTAGCTAAATAAATATTTAGGTGAAGCTAGGTGGAACGCCGATATATGTAGGGTTGAGGGTAAGAACTGCACGAGAAGGAGCCTTGAGAGAAGCTTGTGTCCAACAGTGGGCTGATGATGGTGATGATGATTCATCTAGCTATTTATAATACTTTTTTTAGATAGGGGGCCCTTGGAACTGCATTTCCTAGGGGCCCCCATATGGTTATTCCGACCCTGGTGCTATGTATATCTCAATAAAATTAATGAAATCCACTGACTCATTAATTTTCCTTGTCCGTGCCGATCTCAAGATTCTCATATTTGGATACTTTCCAAATGGGACATTTTTTGCAGTTGGGAAAATATAATTTTATTATATATCTCCAAATGGGGGTTGTCGTTTAGCATTTTTTATTAAGGGTCATCGTACTTATAATTTCATAGGTCTTGTATGGAAATAGGCATTTAGTATGTTACTGAAAGATATCATAGACATACAGTTAGCACTAATCGATAGAAAAAAAGTTGCCCAATGCCGATTGTGATGTAAATGAGATATTCGGTCCAGTTTATTTATTTATTCAGAAATAATATATAGTTAAATTAAATACCGTAAAAATGTAAATTCCATGACGTCTAATTTCCGATCAAGTACTGCAGAAGAACTAAAACATACGAACCTTAAAATAATCTTGCATAAAACGAAACAAAAAACCTTCAATTAATTGAAAATAAGCAAACCACCTGAAATTATACGTAAACAGTTTTTCGTTATTTTACAAGCTGATATATTAAAGAAAAACATTTTTTCATTTTTATTAAATTTCTACGTAAGGACAGCTTGTAGGAAGGTAACCATAAAAATGTACGGGTATTTTTAAATTATTTAAAAAGCAAATGACTATTTTAAATTGTAATCATAAACAAATATATATCTATAGACTAGACTGAATATTATTAAATAAATAAAAAAAAACAAGAACATACCTTAACGACCGATTGATCAACTGAAAAAGCGAGCACAATAGATCACTGCGGGTCACAGTGCTACAGGTCTAACGACCGAGAAATAGCCCAAACTCCATAATAATAAAAAAAATACAAATGACATTTCTAAAAAGGTACTCACAGATTAAGTACAGTAAAGAGTAAGCAGGCGATAAAATAAAGTACCACCAAAATTCCTGTTTACAAAGCTGTGTATTAGGTGTAAATATTATGATAATAATGGAATTTCTTGTATCTGATGTCATTAAATTTTTCAAATATGTATAACATAATACATCGTATAACAAATATCCTTTTAGAGAATATATAAAATTTGTAAATTGATCCTTAAGCTGTACCCACCTGTTGCAGCTTCAATCAGATTATGGTTAGATAGGTGCTATCACTATTATGTATCAAAGAGATCAATTAACTAATAGTACCTAAATAAAGACCTATTTACATCCAGTGATAAAGTTATGGTGTGACAAAATTTATTTTTAATAATTTAATACTACCAACTTTCAACTCTATTTGTCGATTAATACGGTTCAGTTTCGTGTGTATCCTATTGGGTTTTTGGCTCGGACACTTTACGACTAACCCTGTATTCTGTTGTATTAATTTATCTTGACACTTACCATTTTCCGCGGTCACAGCTTAGTCTGAAACAAATGAAATATATTATTACGCTTTGTGTTTAATTGTACATGTTTATTATATTTTTACATACTGTTCCCGCACTATTAAATAATAGGTATCCAAAATTCTGTCTCATGCATAAACGAAATATCTCCTTTGAAAAGTATACACTCATCTAAATGGTATACAAACCATCGCTCTAAGACTACACTAAAACTTTTCTCTGCACAACCTATGGTTGACTGGTAGGAAATGCCGTAAGACGTTGAATCTACCGTATGACTTTTAGCTAGGTATTTTATGTCTTGAAGTTATATAAATAAATAAATATACTTCAGTACTTGTCTCTGCCGGGCCTAGGCAGCGAATTCTGAAAAAGGGCGAGTACAATAGATCTATTCAGGTCGCAGGTCTCTTTAGCGTCGAGTAATAGCCCAAACTAAAATTTAGGAACAAAGAAGATAGTTTTTTTATAATTGTAATGGCAAACAAACTCAAAATAGCTAACGGATGACACACATGATGCCCGTAGTAGCTCTTATTCGTTGTCATTCCGAAGGACAAAAGTATCATGCCTCTGCAATATGTAATTTCACTCCCAAATCCCACGTTTCATACTGTAAATCAACTTACCAAGCTAGCTGCTTGACGTCTGAAATATGTATAATGAAGTTACTCTTGTAGACTTTGTACAAAGTAGATCTCGGCAAATTGTGTAGTGTACTTGCCAAATGTCTGGCGTCATACTCGTGAACAAGTGCTACTTATAGGTACTGGTCTACTCTAATCACTATGACTGATTTCATCTTATTGTATATTTAATATTTAACCCTAATAAATTAGTGCTAGTTGATAGTTTGTATTAATACGTTTCGACTTAAAAATATAAAGTTACAACGACTATTTAAAAGAGCAACACGCAAGTTTTATTACTCATTCTTCTTATGATGAGACAGCTTTCCGACAAAGGATAGATTAAAAGAAGGATAACTATGACCAATGCTAGTTGGTAGTTTTTAATGACACATTTGGACTTAAAAATTTAAACTTCCAACGATTATTTAAAAGAGCAATACGTAAGTTTCGTACTCATTCTTTCACCATGAGAGACAGCTTTCCGAATAAAGGATAGGTTAAAAGAAAAATAATTATGACCATACAAATGTGCTTCAAGTAAGTTTATTTGAATGAATGATTTTCTATTCTATTGTAAAGGCATAATATGTATATGATAACTATCTATTTTTATTCTTTTTTTTTTTTGTAAATAAAAGAAAGCAGTAGCAGATTAAATATTAAAATATATTAAAATGATAAAATTTATATGTTGACATTAGAAAAATTCCTGAGATATTGAAAGTGACATATTCTATAAAAATGTACAAACAACTAATTCTACGATTATATTTCGAACAGTTTTCTAGTCTAGTGATATCTGTGAAATTTGAATGAAACCTTAACACAGAAATATGTTTATCTTCAGCGACTCATCAGTGGATTGATGTACCGGCACATACCGTCAGTGCAGGGTGCATTTCATTTTGATGCATAATAAAATTATTCATATAAAAACGTATGTGTTTATTTTATACAAAACGGCGCGAGACATTATAATATCGTCAGAAGTGTAGAAAAGTTTTTTTACTCTCAAAGTCTTTTGCTCACGTCTCTGCGATAAATTGCGAAGTTTGTTTTTTATAGCCGGCGCTAACTTATTGGATAAGACTGTGCTTTTTCTTCTAGAAAAAAAGGTGTTTGTTTAAAGAGATTAGAAAGTCTTTGTTGTTAGTAATGTTGTCAATAGTTACGTTAATATTGTTCATCAATCACTTGTTTTTATTTTTTTACATATTATAAAATGGTTTAATTATGACGGAACAAAAACTTATAAATATATACGTTCGAGGGAAAGGGGATTATTAGTAATATCGATTGATGATCTTATTGCTAGCAATGTACCATGTCAGGACGTCCACGCGGTTCCTGGAAACCATCGTGATAAATTCTTGGTGAAGTTGTCACATTAGTTTAATTGACTGACCTCATGCTCATCTTATCATCCCCCATTAGTGCCCCGCCAGCATAAACCATTAGGGAAGTGAATGCACCATTAGAAATAGAAATAGAAAATCATTTATTTAAATAAACTTACATTGGAGCACTTTTTTTTTCACAATTCTATTATCATCCATAAAAAAATATATATATATAAGTACATTTTTTATGGATCAATATGAAATGCAATCAATATGAGCTCTCGCTGGTAGGGCATCAGTCCAATAAAGATACGATAAAAAAAATAAGGATGAAATCAGGTCAATTAGCCCATAATGACGAATTCACTCGTAAACAGTGGACAATACCTCTGGCTACCCCATCTGGTATAACGGTCGTGAAGAAATACTATATTAATCTCACCACTGTAATCTTAGATGAGGATGTAACTATCTATATAATACACAAAGAAAGCACCCAGACGGATATAAATAATGAAACTCGTGAATATTTGTAACGTGGGAGAAACGTACTAAGGTAAGAATCAATATCCTACTCATTTCCCTGAGCAGGTAAATGGTAGAAATGAGATGACATGTAAACCAAAGGTTCCCAATATTACTAAATAAAATATTAGATTAAAAAATAAAGAATTCACCAGACTGTAAAATTTCTCATTGAAAACTTGTGATCAGCGATCATGTTCGATATGCCTTTAATGGATTACGTGATTAGAATCTTCTGAAAGGAATCATATCGATGACTGAATATAAAGGACAGTTATGTGAAATTAAACGCTTTAACATTGATAAAAATTCAGATTTTGTTAAAGAATATACTTTGTTGTATACTTCCGCCAGTGTAATGTATTTGATAAGAATGAGCAATTAAAATAGATTGAAATTCACAGTTCTACGATGTATGAACCACTTAAGAGTTACATTTAGTAAAGGCATTGTAAAGGAGCTGGGTGTATAACGCAACTGCAAACGTATCTTATTAGCAGCAACGAGCAGGTAACCACTTCGTCATGATTAAACAGATTAAAATTAAAAGTTGTTCTAAATATTAAACAAAAATTAATTTTAATTAAATAGTATTCCAAATTTCAAATCTGTAAGACAAAATTTAAATTTGAAAAAAGAACGTATACCCTGCATTATGCCGCATTGCGTAGAGCGCGCGCTTTGAAAACCCGCCAAAATATATTATTCGTTATCTACCCCGAGGGTGCGGTTCATTCTGTACGTGCAACACTATTGGCTCTTAAATTATGGCAGCATCGTCCCAGGCTCTGTGCTTTGTTTAATTGCTAATTTGGTATACCTACTCTGTTAGCACCATTGCATTTGCTATTCCGGATTAATCCTGACTCGTGATTTATCTACACAAAAGCTAACCTGTACGAATAGCATAAACAATTTAGCGGGAAAATGTAATGTAAATGTATTGAAAATATTATCTACATAAGTCGGATTTATTTTGTTTTTTTTAAGAATTATGTTTTATGTAAATATAACGAGTAAGTATTAATACTTAATGAGACCTTTCCGTCGAAGAGAAACATGAATCTTGTTTACTTAAATAATCTACGTGTGTTTTCCTGACTTCAAATGAAATAGAGAACAAAATGAACAAAGTAAAAATAAGCATTGTAATATAAAAAAAACAATGGCACTGACAGAAGTCCGTACTTCTAAATAAAAACGTTTTCTTTTGTTCTGTGTAGTTATTATCGCGAAATCAAAGACATTGATCTGATAGAGATGGGTACCTGTAACATTTAGGCAAGTGTATTTTTTCAATATCATGATAATGATTTTTATACCGCTTGATTTGTTCAGAAAGTGTACTTTTTATAGAATAGAAAATTCTCTATTCAAATATAATTAAATTTAAGCACAGTTTAATTGTCATCCTTTTTTTTTAAACTACCACTTGCGTGTTGCTCTTTTAAGTAATTATTGAAACTTTAATACAGGAATTATAAGTTAAACTGTGTGAATATAAATTACCAAATAATACTAATTAAATATATTCAAAATATTAAATACATATATAAAACAACCAACATAATATGTTTTATGTCCTTTTTATATTCAAGTGAATCCCTGATTTCGATAGGTTGCTCCTAACTTTGTGAGTTTTATATATATTAACATAGAATGTAACCTATGTGAATGATATACCGTTCAAACAGTCAAAAAAATTCTCAAAACGATGCATCAGTTATAGAGTTTACTCTTATAAAAATTCTCTGTTTAACTGTTTCCTACAAACTCTTTATAATATTAATATGGATGTATTTATATAAATGTACTACTCACGCTTGACTAGTCGGATCTTAATGTTTATTTAAGAGGAAGATGGTCAAATACTTTCTCATTTTATCAAAATGAAAAATAGATGAAGTAGCGTCTAGTTGCTTCAGTTATTCACTACTAGAAATTTGTTCCGATTTTTCACGGGTACCATTCTTGTAGGAATTTTGTATTTAATTTGAACGCTGATAATGTAGGTTTCCATAATTGGAAGAGATTTTTAAAATTTCTTTATTATCTTTTTAGTTTTTCTATTACAAAAGAAAACGCGTAAAGAATTTCCTTATAATATGAATTTAGATTAAGTAAATCCACTCAACCAAAATGTCCATATACGAGAAGAGGCAGGGATCCTTAATTAAGAGATATGTAAGAAAGCAAATAAAATAACATCGTGAATTATACCGCAGAAATGTATTTCCGGTATGACAAAGGCCCGCGTATTGTCCGGAATACGAACACATTCATTGTATGATTATTTTATTCCATTTGGTAGGTATAGGTATAAGTATAAATGGACAGACATACTCTCATCTCTAGTTCATTCATTTCCCTTACATAAGTATAAAATACGAGCTGTGTCCGCGACTTTTTTGATATTTTTTTTAATAATCTAATCAAAAAAAAGGCAAAGGAAAGTTTCAAGCTTTTAGCTTTAAAAATGATGATACTTTCGGGAGACGAAATGTTGTAGCATTTCGTCTCCC